ATGTATGTTGAAGGCGTACAGGATCAAGAGCAGGTCAAGTTTGACACTTCAGATTTAAATCCAACTCTATGCCGCTTACGGTAAGAACGGTCCAAAGTACAAAGTCAAGTAATTTTTATATTATATTTAGTAAGTACAATTAATACTATGTAACATTAATTATATTGTATAATAGGTATAATTAAGTAAGAGCGCAAATGCATGCCTAAGGATGCTTAAGAGGAAACCGAGTTTCTGGCGCTAATTTATTTTAGGTATAAGTGTGCGCGTGGTAAACGTTTCTATAGCCGTGTGTAAGCTAAAGCGACGCAACCTCCACGTCTGAGGGCCGAAGCAGGACTAAAGCGCACAGGAGGAAAGCGTGGCGGCTCTGGCAATCTGGGCGGACTGCGTGCGAATTTTGAAATTTCCTTCGTTATAATTATTAATTAATACATAGATTAAACTCAGAAAAAAATCCTACGATCCGGCCGGATTCGAACCGACGTCTTGTAGCATACCGTGCCAGACTCTATACCAACTAAGCCACGGAACGACCTCACGAATTTTTCTATGTGCTCGTTGTCATATCTTTGTATTTGGTTTTTCAACGACTTTTTAGGCGTAGCGCCATCTATGAGAAATCTATGAAAGTATTTCGTCACCCAGTTAGATACCTTTCCAGCTACCAGCCCCGGCTAAAGATATCGCTATTCAATGTATTAAAATTTTTATTGGATTGATATTCAATTATTTCTCATGTGAAATTCTTTCTTTTTTTAAATTGTTTCCTTCGTATTGTTAAAACAAATACACATTTTGAAAATATACGGAGTATACGTTATAGAAAAGACGCAGTTTTGTTATTATCTGACTGACAACTTTCCGTGAAGTGTTTACGTCGTAGGTACTAAGCAGTTTTTTTTTTGATACTACAAGTAATCGTTCTAAAGTGCATGATTTATAGAGTGAATCCTGAAATATCCTATACGTTAATTTAATTACTAAAAGTTTAGTAATAACGATACAGCGAGGGATCAAACGAACACAATTATTTCACAATTACGTATCGCTGCCTCGGCGCACTTATGACGAAACTGCGATGCGACGTCGCATCGCAGAAATGTACGAGCTCGCATGACGCTTCCCAAGAATTTGCAAATTTCTCCGCATCGTTATTTCTGCGATGTTAATCTTCTTTGTGTTTATCGAGTTCTTAGGTTTTCGCGATTGTTACACATAGGAAACGAAACTATTTTTCCGGATTTAAAGCATATTTGTTTTTTCAAATAAACCAACGTTTCACCCTTCTTTTTCCCTTTTTCACTTCAAACAAAACAGCGTTTGGACCCTTTACAGGTCCCATGGTCACGGTTCTTTGTTTTTTTTTCCTATACTCTCTTATCAATAACAGCAGTGCAACACTCTTTTTACGATCCATGTCGCTATCTAGTTTAAAAAATATGTTCTGTACGATTGATGTTCGTCGAAGGAATGTGATTACCCGAATAGTGGCAGTGAGATGCCATGCCGCACGAAATCGCATTGCAGTTTTGTGTTTCGACACTGTTAATATGCTACCAGGACCCAGTCAACAGAAAGATGACTCGAATCGACATTTTAGATCGGTCTACTACGTTAGCACAAATGTTTGTTTTGTGTCCCAGTCATGGGATATTCAAAGCAAAATGTTGACTGCCTTTGTGACCGAACGTTTACTATGCTACTCTGCCACGTTTCGATTCCAGGGCCGGGAGAACTATTCATATTGCCTACATTTAATTCTTTCGTGAGTTTGGGTGTAATTTGTGGTTGTCTATGAATATGTACATGATACAGGGATTCCCTAGTGCGGGGCTAGGAGTATGTTCGTTATTTAAAGACTCTTTGACAAGTCATACCAAGTAATTCAGGTTTTTTTTGTAATTTGTATATCCACAGGGTCATTTGTAAAATATTAACAACCTCGCGGGACTATATTACGAACATAACAACATTTGTTCCATTACTTTTTACAAGTTTACTGATTTTGCGAGGTATATCGACCTTTAGTTTTTGTTGTATGACTTCAGAATTCAGTCCATCAGGGAAACCCCTAGCATATCTCGCTCCATACCACGCTGACTGATTTAAAATTTGTAGCTGAGGCCTGTTGTTAATCTCCACGTCTCGGCTACGTAGGACATAGCTAGTATAATGTACTGAATTAATTCCTTTATTTTTAGATTCCATGGCCTTGACGACCCGATCGGCTATTGTTAACCGACTTCAAAAAAGGAGGAGGTTTCTAATCCGACTGTATGTTTTTTGAGTACATGTTACGCGATAACTCCGGTATTCGTGCACCGATTTTCATGATTCTTTTTTTGTTGGAAAGAGGGTACCTCCATAGTGGTCCTATTTAATTTTGAAGAAAATCATCCATCTCTAAGGATGCTGTTCACGCATGAAGATTCATTTTTATAAATAGCGCCTAAATTTTGTTATAACGAGCAATTATTTTAATGGGTGATTTTGCTATTCTCTCTATTCAAGGCGTTTTTCTCTCTATATACTTTGAGTAGTGAGAACCAATTTTTATTCTATCCTGTGTCAAGTTCCGTATAGTGGCGAACTAGGGGATGAATCCGGGTTTGCGCACTTTCCGGTAACCGATTTCAAAAAAACTTAGCAAATAGATGTAATTCCACGTACTTTTGAGGTCGGTTTTTTTAGTACTCTGTACTGAGATTCTATTGGATGTGGTTTTTATTGTATTGCATGTCAAATAAAGTATTTTTGATGTTTTGACTTTATTTATTAGATATTACGAGTTAAGAAACAAAAAGTCGTTATTCGTAAACGATTTATGACAACTTAGCGTGGGCGTAATTTGGAGATATGTTTGTTGCACGTAAACCGCAGCGGGGAACCACAAACCACGCTATAGCGTGTCGCATATTGAGTTGACAGAAATATATCTCACCTATATTTATTACTGTAGTTCACAGCGTTGGTTCGTAGAATATAAATTCAGGTAACGTCTCCTTGTACCTTAGTACAAAGATTGTTCACTCGCTAGATTATTTTTGTCGTAATTTCATTTTGTATTGCAGCATGAGAACAAAAGCTCTTGTAGGAACGCGTTTCCTTTTGTCGGCAGTTTTACTACCAGTCGTTCTCTCATGATCGTTTATGTCAAGTGACGAGTGGAACAAGTCCTGCATCTAGTAATAAGCCATTTGCCTATCCATAACATTTGCAGTGTCACTCATATTTTAAAAAGTCTATATAATTTCACATGGCTTTGGTTGATTACGAATAATAGAGAAAGAGTTGAATCAATTAGTTTGGAAAAAAATACAGTAAAATTGGGGATATACATTCCTCTGATTACTAATAATAATAACACACACACGCAACATAGCCCCGCAATAGGGAAACCCTGTGTCGCGGGTGCCATAGACACACAAATAGGTAACCACAAATTACACCCAAACTCACGAGAGAAATAAATGTAGGCCATACAAATATTTCTCCCGGCCCGAGAATCGCACCTGGGATCTCTGCGTGGCAATCTGGCACGGTAACCGTTCCGCCACGGAGGCAGTTAAGTTACTATGTGGCGTTAAAACTTGATTCGTAAAAATTTTCTCTATAGAAAAATAACACGTACCTACGTCGAAATTTTACGAAAATTTTTAAATTTAAATTTTAAGGAAACCGCTGTATTCAATATTTAAAAAAATCATTGATGTAACTCATTGACTTACAAATAAATGGACGACGGGTCTAATACAAAAACCACGAAAAAAATGTCCCAAGTCCACCTATTTAAACGTAGTGACATGTCAAGGAATATGAAAAAGCTAAAACGTTGAATTTAAATTCTAATGTCATCGAGGTACTGTCTAATTTTGCTTGCTTCGCTGTCAGTCGAACAAACGAAGACTAGACGTGAATGACGCTCTGTATACGATTTTAACGCCCTATAAGTTCGGACACTTTTTAGCGCGGACCCGACGTCCATATAATTGTAAGTCAATGATATAACTTTACATATTATACCAATGATTTTATTAATATCAATTGAACTAAGTAGAACACGCATACTATACGAAATACATTTTTCAAATAGCTTTGATTTCATTTGTCAAATAATAAATTCTGAAATAAAGCCTGTGTGCCTGCCTTTCGACCCAAGTAAAATGAACCGTATTGGTAAGGAATGAACCTTACGAACTATACAAATATATACAATTGACTCTTAAATCGCAAAGATCTGTGAGGTGCACTGCCTCAGCGACTGTCGACCTGAGCAAATTGACAAGTCCCATGTGCCTACACCAGCACCATTTAAAATCGGAACACAGTACTGCTTAGCGGCAGAAATAAATATGGTTGCAGGATCCTTAGCCGAATTCTGTCACAATGAGTTCTACTGCTGCAAAATGTAGTTTTTTGGAGTCAAAATTATACCCGTTTCTACGTGAAAGATTATTGCTATCATCACTGTCTTTAGATCACTTTCTTCAACCCCTACACTTTCAATAATGACCCCACCACTCGATTTTTTTTTATAACACCTAGTGACAGGACGAACAAGGCGTGCGCCTGGCGGTAAGTTGCACAACAGTTGCAGTGCCATGTAGAGCGTTAAATCGCAAAGATCTTATTGGCACTGCCAGTGCACCCGTCATCCTGAGACATATGTTGACAAGTCCCATGTAGCTGTAATTTCACCAGCACCCTTACCCTTCTGAACTGGAATGCAGTAATGCTCACATGCAGTACTTCCCTGGATGAACTCTTTCACAAGGAGCTTCACCGCTACTGATTTTTTCTCTAAAGGCGAGTATGTCTGCTTGGAATTTTTCATCAGAGAACTACTACTGGATCCTAAACTGATAATACGGAGAAACCATCTTCCTCGTTGAAACTTGGATGTTTTTTTTTATTTCAATTGACTTGCACTTAATTAATTTTTATGCTCTCTTATTAAAGTGTATTTCTTTCTATTTCAGATAGTAAGAAGACTGGCCAGATGAAGTCTATGGCTCGAAGGTGGTCACGATGACTCGAGCTGGTCTTTTGATCTTCTGCTCTCTTCTTACCAGGACGCTATGTGTCATAGCACCGCAGATACCAATAGGTAGGTAAATTCGAAATGTTTATTCTTTAAGAAAGGTGAATTTTTTTACATAACTAGTTCATTATTTTTGCTATGATCATAGTTTTTCAAAATGTTATATCATAATTTTTCCAATTTACTGTCTTTGAAATATTTCATATCTACTTTTGATAGTAGATCTTCTTGTCAAAGCCTCGCTGTGATTTTGTTTATGTGACGTTATTTATCACCCACCTCCTTCTCGAATTAGTATTCACTACCTAATTTCCAGGGCCATATTTATTATTTAAATATTCAAGCACATAATTGTATAATCATGAAATAATATTTCACGATAAAATACTCGAATATTCAATAATATTGCACGATAAAAAAAAGTATACTTAAATATTAAGTAACGAGACGAAGAAGCCGTGAGCCTGGTGTTAAGTGCCACTCAGAGATTTAAATTGCAAAGATCCTAGGGACACTGCCACTGGGCTTGTTACCCTGAGACATGAGTTGACAAGTCTCATGTGCTTGTAATTTCACCAGCACCCTTATGTTGATATTACTGTTTGGCAGTAGAAATAGGTAAGGTGGTAGTACTTCTTTGGACGAACTCTTTCACAAGGTGCTCTACTGCTACTACTAAGTAGTGTCGGGACGTTTGTTAATTTTAATTAAAATATTTTTAACTCCTGATTTATGAATGCCTATAATGTATTTTGGGTTCCAGGAATTTCCATTACGTATAAAAGTAAATTGAATAATCAATTTCGTTAATTTCTTTTTTTCTATCTGATGGAAAAAAATATTTTTTGATATTTTAATATCATATTAACACTAACGATCCAAAGTGTAAAACTGTTGATTGTGTAAGGTTAAATCCCATGTAGACCTACGTAAAGATAACATCGTGCCAAAGTCTGGCTTGGTATTCCTTTGGTGAATTTTGTATTTTTTTATATATCTAGTTGAGAGCACCGTACATGAATTCTATCAATCGATATATCGTATCGCCTGAAAAAAAACCACAAGTATCAATAAGCGGTTATTCTACAATTTAGACGCATGTAATTAGACATAAGGTTGAAGGCAATGGTTTCATTTTGCGAGAGCGAAATTTCGCAGAAGGAGGCATCGGAGCTGCTCCTCGCTGACACGCTCAGACGACGGCGGCCGAGATGCGAAGGAGGCTGTACGGGCGTACCTTCTTCCCCAGCCGTCTCCGGGGTCAGCGGACCCTTACCACCAAGTCTGAGTGTGCCCTTGCACCCCGGGGTATACACTGAAGACCGGAGCCCGTCTTTCGTGGGCCATCCTCCGAGACGTCCCAGTAGCACGCCTAAACGGATCCTGAGTCGTCCCTCTAAGGCAATGGGGTTTTAGTGGGTATACAGGGACTACCGCTTGGGAGTCCTACATAACGGCTCGCTGTTCCCCCGAAACGAGTGATATGCGCAACGCATATCCCAGCGTAAAGAAAAAAAGGGTCACTTCTGCCTCTCGCTCAAGAACCTAAATAAGGAAACAGTCAAAAAGCCAAACAAACCAAACTTGGAAGAAGTTCATTGAATACTAAATATAAACAGCCCCAAGGGGCCAAACAAAGCGAGATCTAGAACAAAGTCGAAACCCGCAAAAAGATCTTTAACTTTTAGTAGGCAACACTTTTTTATTTTCCACTTTTGCCCGAAAAAGCGTTAAGTAAGTTGAACTAACACTTAATATCGATAAAGAAAACTAATGACACAATCGTGGAACTATCATACTGTTTGTGTTGTTCAACTACAAAGGACAGTGAGTAAAATTATGGATACAATTTCGATACATTAAAAAACGTGTTTGGAATAACAAAATATTGCCTCATTCTCAGTAGCTTTAACATTTAAAATTACTCGCCTTTGTTTTTGTTTAGATGCAGTTCGAGGAGTTTTTCTCTATATAACTTTTAATTAGAGCGAAGCCTATATTACGACTTTAGAATATCAATTAAAAAAGGGACCGCTCGTCGTGACCCTGTAAATACTTTCTTAAAAATCAAGCCATGCGAAACTTTACAAACAGAATAAAGGCAGAATTAATTATTTTGCTTTTAAATACGAGTACTATATTAAATGCGAACGACTTACCGATCTACCAGTTGAGACGACAAAAGAATTTCTGAAATTTTAACTACTGCTTGAAGCAGTAACAAAATGCTTGTCAAAAGCTCATCATTGTAAGCCGAGAGGTTCTACTTTGCACAAATTAATTAACACCATAATAAAATGTTATCTCTAACAACAAACTCAACGATTTTATTACGATAAACTTATTACAGATATTTGCAAACAAAAGTGGATGATAATATCCAATAAACCGGATTCGTCCTTAATTTTCCACTCTTATCGGTGGAATATTTTCTTCAAATTTAAATGGAACTACTATTAAGGTACCCTCTTTCCAACAAAAAAAGAATTATCGAAATCGGTTTTCAAATGTCAGCATAACATACAAAAAAAACAGTCGAATTGAAAACGTCCTCCTTTTTTTGAAGATAAGGAGTTGGTATTTTTCAGATGTCACCTTATTACACCAAAACAGGGTGCGCTATAAGTCCTTATTATATGATTCCCTGGAAGCGTATAGCAAAGAAGGCCAGAGTGCAATTGTCCCATAAAACAATTAAAACAAATATCTTCGACAGTTAAATTATTAAATAATTTAAAAATTTTAAACATGCTGGCCATTAACTAATAATTATCACACTATTACACACTTTATTTTTATAGCTATGTATTTTATGATATTTAGTAGCAGTAGAGGTCCTTGGGAAGTACTGACATCTTACCTGTTTCTGCCACCAAGCACTAATGTGAGCATTACAGCGTTCCGGTTTAAAAGGGTAAGGGTGCTGGTTAAATTACACGCAGGTGGCACTTGTCAACTTATGTCTCAATGTGACAGGCGCAGTGGCAGTGCCCATAAGATCTTTGCGACTTAAAGCTCTGAATGGCACTGCAGCTGTTATGGACAGGCGTGTCGCTTACCACCAGGCACACGACTTGTTGGTCCCGTCACTTGGAATCTAAAAAAAAGGTGGCAGTACTTACCCTAGAATTGTCTAGCAGGAAAGTTTAGGTCTCTTACGCCTTTAGTAAGTTTACTAACTAGACGTTACGTTAACATACGTGATTATATTAAATACAATGCTTACATAAAACGGACATTTTCCTCGAATACTTAACTTATTAAAATTCGGTTTGTGAGCACTGGTTTAAATATTAATAGTGTAATGAGTATTCCATTTAGTGAATGAAAATTAAATGCGTAAGTCATCAATTTTAGAAATATAAATCATGAATTGAATGGGTATTCACCCACTAAAAGGCCTGTGTTAATATGATTAAATCGAGTCATTTCGTTATTAATGGTAGTTTTATCGTCTTGAAAGTTGATTACTTCATTTTTTTGATTAAATATTTTGTAAGCATTAGGGAAGAATCAGCTATAGCCTTGTTGGAAATACGCATGCCTTAGAAGCCTGAGTGTTTTAAAAATCATGTGCAGTTTAATAATTTATATTGGTAAATGGTCGAGGTATCCAGCCACGTAGGAATTTGGGAACTGGAGAGACGCCGTTTTTCGGAGTTGGGAAGTGAAAGTGCCTTACAGCTCCGCCACCAATGAGGAGATTCGGTAATCGACTTAGAGGCGACGGTTCAGCAGTGGCAACCGCTAGATCTGGGATTAGGACCTGACTGAGATGATCCCTGTGCGGGCTTGCTTGCACAAGTTGTAGTGCCCTTCCCGCATAACCAAGAGGTTAATACGGAGAGTCACTATTACTCAAAACTTATGTAGAAAGACATGGGGTTGTTCAATGATCGAATACACAGAAAACTTCATTCCATTGGAGCTACAGAACGCACCGTGTCACACGGTGTATCGGGTTTAAACAGCTTTTTGTCGCCTTCAGACATTCAGAACACCCATGAGACACTACTTCTTATAGTACTGGTATGGTAACAGACACTTGTTCGAATCCTACTTTCTGGATCTTTGTATCAATAGTATTAAATATCTATTAGACAACATCACATATTATGTTGCTCTGAACCCAAAGTACCAACGCACTTGTGTTATGGAAATTGAAAACGACGGTACCACAAACACCCAAGGCAATATGGTCTTATGGTCGTTTTTCTACATTGTCCGGTATATACTATGAAAACCGGCGTGCAAGACACTCGACTACGAGGTGGTCAAATAATAATAATAAACTGATGGAGTATTTTCACAAAAAAGCACTTGACAAATCATAGTAGTAAAACAACATGATCATCATAAACAGGGTAATGTTTCGTTTAAAATTAAAATTAAGAGTGAAACGCGCGGTTGCATCGATACAAATGCGCGATTACATCGATGCAATCGCCTATACATCTCAAGTATATCGATGCAATCGCGCGTCTGCGTCATTACTGCTTAAAATCGCGCGCGTGTGTAAAGGTAGACCATTAGCGACTGCATTGCTACTGCGTCGTGTTTGCATCGCTGTTAAAAGTCGCCATGTGTAACCGTTCTAATTGAGACCTTATTCTTCAAACACATATATATATATATATATGGAAAATCATATGATGTTATGTACTAATAAATTATGAGCTATGAGTGATAAAAAGGAGCATAGTGCTGTTCTGTCTCCGCCTGTATTCTCTGTCGGACATTGTCGGAACATAATTTTGAACAAAAGGTTTCAAAATGTTTCGTTCTTTCCTTACAGATTTCAAGAGCGGTGACAAGAAAATTATCAGCGTTCCCTTCTGGCACGAAGCGTTTACGGAAATATACGAGGAATTAAACGAAGATGACGTATCTACGACAACCAGCGAGCCATTGCCGTTCTTTGAAGATGATGCGTCCACGAATAATGTGACGGCGCAGCTTGGTAGCAGAGTGCATTTGCATTGCAGAGTTCATGATTTGGGCGAGAAAACGGTAAGAATTCTTGTTTATAATTCATACAACCCCTCACACAAGTCAAAGCGGGTTCCGAGGCAACAGAAGTACATGGAAACAAAATAGGCAGACCAAGATATAGTACACGAAAGTGATGATGAAAGATTGTTTGGTTAGTTAGGTGGTTTCTCTCACCGCTACACCTCTCGAATGGTATAACCTGCAGCGCCCTGGAGAACGCGCGTTGTGGAGAAATATCATACCAACAACAAACATCTGAATCGTTTATGAATACCCTGAACAGCTTTACTTTAAGAGTCGGTACTATCTCAGCTCGAATTTAATTTTTTCTAATACTAATACGGTTTATTTTGCTTGGCTTTATTTCAGAATTTATTTTTTTTAAATCGAAATTAACGCCGTTTGAAAAATGTATATCATATAGTGTACGTGCTCTATTTAGTTCAGTTAATATTTGAAAAGTAATTGGAATACAGAGGTTTTCTTTAGGAGTTTGTGTTTTTTGTTTCTATCGTCATTTTTAGGAATCGTGTTTTCACACCGTATAGTAATCAGTGTATATCATCAATTGTACTAAATATTTTTTCCAAACAAATTGATTCGACACTTTCTCTGTTATGCGGAATCAACCAAAGCCATTGTTTTGAGGTAGTATAGCCTCTTAACTGAGAACGGAGGCAATTTAAGGACCAATTTTCTTCTTTTGCTTATATAGGCTCTTGTCAACTGCCTCTGTTCAGCACCCTTTCTTTGATTTTCTGACATGGCTTTAACTTTTTCCTTATATGATCAAATAATCATCTCGATTTTTCTTTGCCTTTCTTACCTTCGATCCTCCCTTTAATGATGTTGATGATAAATTCAAATTCAAATACAAAATAATCTTCATTTCATAGGTAAGCATTGTTACACTTGAAATCGTCACAATGGTTAAACTCTACCGCTCATTCGTAAGGCAGATTCCCCTGAGAAGAATGAGCAAGAAACTCTAGGGGTTGCTCTTTGTAAATAACATTTATCGAGACTACCTGCATGAGCTAAACGGGTTACTACCACGGATTTTTGTCATCCAAGTACGCAGAAGTGGTATAATAAAATTTTGGTATAAAGTTTTTGTTTCACTATAGTTTTAAACCTCGTGAAAGGCAAATTTTGTATATCAACCGGAATCTTGTTATAGAAGCGTATACATTGCCCCTTAAATGATTTTTTGACTTTGTGAAAACGGCTATCAAGAAAAGCTAGTTTATTTTTATTCCTCGCATTAATGTTATGTCTGTCACTACTTTTCATAAAGAAATTACTATTCCTTTTAACATAAACTACATTTTCATAAATGTACTGTGAGGCTAGTGTAAGAATTAATTTCCTTAAACTTATCTCTCAAAGATACTTTGGGGCCCAGATTGTAAATTGCCCTAACTTCACGTTTCTGCAGGACAAAGATTCTATTGATATCGGCGGCATTACCCTAAAGCAAAATGCCGTATGTCATTAGACTGTGAAAGTAGCTGAAGTAAACCAATCTAGCGGTTTCGACGTCTGAAAGTTTCCTTATTTTTTTAAACGCGTACACTGCAGAGCCGAGCCCTTTTGATAACTTACTTATATGGGGACCCCATTGCAATTTAGCATCTAACGTTATACCTGGAAATGCAACTGTATCCACAAGATTCAATTTTTCGTTTTTAACTACAATGCTTGTAACCGTCTCGCTAACATTGGGTAATGCAAATTTCACATAATTTGTTTTTTTCTCATTAAGAAGTAGTTTATTAACAGCAAACCAATCAACTATTTTAGATATAGCATTGTTCACATCGTCGTAGGAACATTGGTACCTGTTAACTTTAAATAATAAGGAAGTATCATCAGCAAACAATACTATCTCATGTTTTATACCCTATATTATAAAAAAGGGCAAAAAATACAACTTTTTAAAACACCACATGGTGAATACTTTTGAAGCAAGTATAATAAAGTTACAATGACGTAATATGCTGTAAAAAATAACATGTCGTCAAGTTCACGCATGCTCTTTGAAATGTCTATGAATTAGTATTCATGCGGAACCCTTTAGGGGAAAATTTAATTATTGCCGCAAGGTTTCTAAGAATTCCATGAACGCTTTTCCTTATTTTGTTGTTTATGATCGGCGAGGAAATTTTACACGCGTTCCAAGGTTAGTAAACCATCTTTGACGTATATTATAATTGTAAAATTAGTACGACTAAATAGAACATGGAGCAAATTACGCTTACAAAATTTCCTAACAGAAACTTTAAGTACACGAGTAATATTACTGAGAAACTCTGGACAATCAATCTTATTTCTGTATAATGATCAGCAAAAAACAGGCATTACCTACATTTTTCCGGAGATATAAAGGTTAAAGTGCGTAATTTTTTATATCTTGATGCTATTTTATTATTTGTATATGATTATTAAGTTTAATTTAAAATCATCTTCTATAGGTATACATTTCATGAGGTTACACCGCGTTTGCGCTGATAGCCTCAATTAATATGACGTGAATAACGGCGATTAGATAAATAACGCATACACTCATAGCCCCAAACTAGGGAAACCCTGTATCGCGGGTGCCATGGAAACATACATGGACAGCCACAAATTACATTGAGTTTGGGAGTCACGAGAGTAATAAATGTAGGCCATATAAATATTTCTCTCGGCTCGATAATCGAACCTGAGACTTGCCCTATCGTGCTAGCCCTACAGGCGTCGCAACGCCAACGCAACGCATCATGTGGCATTGCTCTAACATTCAGTACGTATATGAATATATGGAATACGGTAATAAATGGTATTGTAATACCACAGCCCAACAACAACAATTTTAGTTACAACGCCTTGCCGCTAGATGGCGTTGGGATCAGAATAGAATGCGCTTTCAGTGTTCATAGAAAGTATTGATATTGAACATAGCATTTTGTGGCGCAGTCAATGCTATCAGCACCCAATTTTTTTTTTATAACGCACACACTCAACATAACTCCGCACTAGGGAAACCTTGTGTCGCATGTGCCATGGACACACACATAGACAACCACAAATTACACCCAAACTCACGAGATAAATAAATGTAGGCCATACAAATATTTCGCCCGGCCTGGGATTCAAACCTGGGACCTCTGCGTGGCAGCAATGGTAACCGTTCGGCCACAGAGGCAGTTAATTTTTTTTAAAGTTAATTGCAAAGTGTCAATGTCAAAAAAAGTTGCACCTTGCTTCCCGATGATCTTTCACTCGTGGGACTCTCCTGAGACTTGCTTCTTAGCTACTCTGCTGAAACCTAGGGGTCTGCCTACGTCACTGCTTCCACTTGAGGAACTGTTTCGTAGCTTTCCTCGTAGATGCATCACTGCTTCCAATTGTGAGATTGTCGTTGCTGCATCGCCGTAGAGCACATTTTGTAACACACCGCGCTGCCTGTTCAAGTCGTATCCAATAAAACGGGAAGAAAATTAATTTGCTACTCCGCGAACCCAGACAAGGTTAAATCGTGCAAATAACTGAGCATGTGTTGAATATTTATTCATCCAGTTAAAAAAACACAGAAGCACAGCTATTTTGTACAATTTAACCTTCACTGGTTTTACGGAATAGCAAATTAGTTTACTTCCATTGTTATTGACATGGACTTCCTCAAAGTAACACCTGAATCCATTAATTACTTCTAGTTGTATCCTTAATAAACCATATGTTCATACCTGCCTTGTATTGTTGTCTGTACCTACCTCGCTCTGCTTTATAGCAGTACAGTATGACAATAACTGTGTTGTTAATTTTATTAATTTTATGCGGAGGGTGGGTGGTAAAATTAACTGAAAAAATATTCAACACAGGCGTAGACATTTTGCATGATTTAATCTTCACTTACTTCGCGAAGTAACAAATTAACTTACTTCCATTTTTATTAATATTACTACTAAATAGACACTATGTAAGCAACTTACAAATGTAAGAACTAATATATACATACTGATTCGAAATGTTGACGTCTGAATATTTATTGAGAGAAGCATTTTTTCTTTTAATGATTTACCACCGCTCTGTATAATAATAATAATAATAATGTAAACAAATCTTAAATCTTCGGTGTTTTGTAGAAAGGGCGATAGCAAATTCAGATAAATTTTTCAGGGGAGCATGTTTCAAGTTTTAACGACTGTTTTAAAATATTTACGTCCTATTTTAAATCTTTAACTTAATTAAAATCGATACTGAATTTTAAAACAGGATGTAAATATTTTAAATCAGTCGTTAAGACCAAAAAATTTAAAAATGTTTCGAAATTGCGCTTTAGTCCTTTCTACAAAACATAGACGAAGTAATCCCAGTAGCTTTGTCCGCAAATAGGTTAATTCCAGTCAGCCTCGCCAACAAACTTGAAGCGGACCTATTCGATATGGCACGTATTGTTTGCCGGTTGTTGAACCTGAGTCCCTGACTCCGACCGACTATGCCGGGAAATAATCGCTTAAACCAGAATTTTAAAAATAGAAATAATGATATCATAACAACCATTTATTTCGAAACCAAATCCGTAGATTGTTACTTAATAACAAAATGTTTAGAACTAAGGGTTAGTACACAATACAAACACAGCAACACCAAAATCAAATAAACGTTAATAACGCTATGCGACGGGTCATGCAGTCCCATTCAGTGGGCGAACATCATGCGATTGGTGTTGTCGCGTAGGCGGTCGAGGCGTATCTCTTTCCTACGAGTACGTTGGCTACAAACCCGTCTGTACGCGCCGCCATGAACATCATACCCAAGGCGCTGCAGCTGCTATATTTATTTATAAATCAGAATTTAACTTGTCTGTTGTTCACCTTTAGTGAACCATATGAAGTTATTTTTTACACTCTGCAGAATTTCAAATTTTAGACCTTCATAAGTAAACTTACGAGATATAATGGTTGTAATGGATAGCAGTACACTCGGCTAATGATAATGAACACATTCAAATTCTGTCGTGTCCACCTTTTTTTGGGATACCAAGTGACTGGACGGGCAAGTCATACGGCTGGTGGTAAGCGACACGTCTGTCCATAACAGTTCAAGTGACAATTGGATGCTTTAAATCACAAAGATCTGAAGGGCGTTGATACTACGCCTGTCACCCTGAGACATAAATTAACAAGTCCCACGTACCTGTAATTTCACCAGCACCTCCAAAACTGAAACGTTTTTTTTTTTTTTTATTGTGACTCGGCAAAATGACTGCACCGCGCCTGATGGAAAGTGCAAATACAGTCCAGAGATGAGAGTAACGGATGGAAAACACAAATATCTTCATTCCGTCACTATCATTTTGCCGGTTTGGCCAAATGCTTCTTCACACTACGTTTGAAGGACCCGATGTTATAGAGGGGAGGGAATACATGCGCCGGGAGTTGGTTCCACAATTTGATGGTTCGGCATAAAAACGAATTGCCAAACTTTTTAGTGCGGGAAGGTATTGAACTGACCGTCCAACTGAAATTGTCCAACGTAACCGAAATTGGTAAGCTGGCAGCACTTCCCTGGACGAACTCTTTCACAAGGAGTTTTACTGCTACCAAAACCTCTGTCCAGGCACCCTATTTAGCCACTATAACGAAAATATAATTTCTATGGGCGACAAACCATCCTCAAAAATATTTAGCAATTTTTAAACTCATTACACCTACATCTTTATATTGTTAATTCATTTTTTAACTTTGCGGTAATTATTTAGTACAAAACCTACATCTACATTCTACATTTAAAAAGTGTAGCAGTAGAGCTTCTTGTGAAAGTTAGTCCACCATACTTATTTCTGCCGCCAAAAATTAATGTGAACGTTATTACTGCATTCCGGGCTTAAAGAGTAAGGGTGCTCTTGAAACTACAGGCATAAGGGTCTTGTCAATTTTAGCTCAGTGACACGGGCGCAGTGGCAGTGCCCTTCAGGTCTTTACGATTTATAGTTTAAAGTGGCACTGACACTGTTAAGCGTAGGCGTATCGCTTATCACCAAAAAACATACATGAAGAATGTATCTAGTTCTAGCGGATCTATATAACTTTGTATTTTCAGTTTTAACAAGGAAAACAGTAGCTGATTGTCCAGAAGTTAGTTCAAATTTTCCAATGTCCCTCGACACCGTCTCGCCATTCGTATATAACTCTGCTAACAACAAAACTTCAAATAATAAAAGTTTATCATTCTTTTGGGCTATTATTTCTTTATTACATAGTATGTCGTTCTAAATTATCTTTTGTACAATAATTTTGAACATCGGTTTATTGAGTTGCGTAATTCACGCTGCATTCGGTTTCATATAAAAACCCTGTTAGTGTCACACGACGACGCAAAATGAGTTGTGTGCCAAAACACGAGCGAGAAGAGCGAGGGAAACATTTGTTGGCATTTGGTAGTACCTTACAAATCTGGATATTCACATAAACATGCATATAGGAAGTAGTTTAGTAGCAGTAAAGATCCTTGTGAAAGAGTTCGTCCAGGGTAGTACATGCAGAGTAGTGACGGGACGAACAAGTTGTGCGACTACCGCACGCGCGTGTTTGTACCGCGCGTGTACAAACTACCTAACTCCTCAAATACTTACAGTAAACGTATCATTATTTACAAATATCAGATTTTTGGAGTACACTGTTTCTTTTTAAGCGACTTCAAAAAGGAGGAGGTTCTCAATTCGAATGTATGTTTTTTTTTGTATGTATGTTACGCGATAACTCCAGTATTTGTGAACCGATTTTCAAGATTCTTTTTTGTTGGAAAAGTTTGGGTACTTCCAAAATAATACCATTTTTTTTTAAGAAAATCTTCCACCTTTAAGGGTAGCTGAACACGCATGAAGATTCATTTTTATAAATAGCGCCTAACTTTAATTTAGGATCAATTATTTTAATGGTTGATTTTGCTATTTCGCCAATTCAAGGCGTTTTTCCGCTTCCGAGAATCGATTTTTATTATCTCCAGTGCCAAGTCCTGTATAGTGGCGAACTAGGGGATATTTCAATAAAATTTAGCAAATAGACGTAATTCCACGTACTTTTGAGGTCGGTTTTTTTAGTACTCTGTACTGAGATTATTTATAATATCAAGGGAAGGGACGAACAAGTCGTGCGCCTGATAGTAAGCCACACGCCTGTCAATAACAGTTGCCACATCAGACGCCATGCCACTCAGAGCTATAAATCGCAAGATCTGAGGGCTCCTGCACTGCTCCCGTCACCCTTAGACATAAATTAATAAGTCCCACGTGTCTGTAATTTCACCAGCACTCTTACCCTTCAAAACCGGAACACAGTAATGCTGACATTACTGCTTGGCGGCAGAAATAGGTGAGGTGGCAAGTACTGCCCTGAACGAACTCTATTACAAAGAGCTCTACTGCTACCATTTGTAAGTGATTCTTATACACATACCGGCTTATTTATCAGGACACCCCATGACGCGTCCTACGGACCGACGCATGTCTGTCACTCTTTTACTACTGTTCGTGTCCTGTGGACCCACAGTGGCCAACAGCGCGAAAGCAGTGATGGACATTATTTTTAATAGTTTTAAATATTTTTCATGAGACTTGTCAACTTATCTCAGAGTGACGGACGCAGTGGCAGTGCCCTTAAGATCTTTGCGATTTAAACCTCTGAATGGAACTGTAACTATTATCGATAGGCGTGTCACTTACCACCAGGCGCACGATTTGTTTGCCCCGCCGATTGGTATAAAAATATAAAAAAATGGTGAGGCGTTACTTCACACCGGGACAGTTGCTTCAGCTATATCAGGCATAAGTCCGGTCGTGTATGGAGTATTGTTGCCACCTTTGGGATGGCTCTGCTACAGAGCCTTGAACACCGCCGTAAAGTTGCCTGCCTATCGGTATTTTACAGGATATGTCACGGATAGTGTGCGATGGAATTACACGATTTAATTCCACCTTCCCCTTTTCATCATCGGGGGACTAGGCGTAGGCTTGGCTTCGACCCCTATGTTGTGGATATTCCAAAGATTCGCATGAAGCGTTACGCTTCCACATTTATAGGACGAACGGCTATGGAGTGGAATTCCCTGCCTGCAGACTTGTTCCCTGAACGTTATCAACCCTCGGAAAACGTGTGAAGTCCTCAACTCGCATTGCGGACGTGGCGGACTATGGCCTACACCTGAGGAGACTCATGCCTAGCACTGGAGCGTATAAATGTGTTACGTAATTTATAGGTCTAATTTGAAAATAAAAAATACCAATTGTCGATTGATCCGACATTGATTTTACGTTCTTGTTCTTGATTAATTTTATTTGAAAAAGTCTTTGTAATTTAATTTACATTCAATGAATATGGAATTGTAAAATTTTAGAAATTTTTCTATGTCACAAAATGTAGAAAAAAATATTTTGATCTAATTTAGTTTATTATTACTAAAAAAAAAAAAATTATAAAAACACAATAAATAAGTTACTTTACAAAGTCTATGTTCAAAGACATGAACGTAATGTTACTTCCATTATTCATTTAAATATTAACGTTATTACGTACTTTATATTTTCATTTTGATTTGATTTTTGATCCGCTAAATATGCTGGTGCGTGTAATTGGAATTATTTTCTTCGTTTGAAATTTTACAGATAAAACAAGGCTTGTTTGTTTCGCAAATCTAAAATTATAAATTATAACAATAAAATATTATAACACAATTATAATTTTATATTTCAAAGCTATTAATTTTATTTTCCTCTTTGTCAGTTTTGTTGTAATTTTCTACATAATTTTCTTTTAATGTAAATATACGTAAGTACTGTTAAGCTTATTTTAATGACGGTTAAGGAAAATGACAATCTTTTTTGTTAATTCAGAATAATTAAGTCATGTTTTGTACTTGTACAGTAACATTACGTTTATTTTCAAAGATTTTAATTGCAGGCCCACTGGATGCACGCTCGTGTTGGTGGTTTAGACCGTTAGATTAAGTGTATTATTTTTTGCTAAATGTAATTTTTATTATTAACAATTAATTTTAAAAGTAATATGAATTGATTTTAAAAAAATTGGTAGAATCACGTATAAATGAATGTATATATTTATTTGTATTTTCATATTTCATATGAAATATGAAATATGAAATATAAATAAATGTATTTTATTTATTCCATTCATGTTATTTTATATATTCATGTTTTCATTTATGTTATTTAATCCTGATTACAATTATTTGTTATTTAGTTTAATTGTAATTGTTTATAGCTGTTAATTTAATTTTATTATTGTATGTGGTTGTAATTGGGTTGAAATAAATGATTTGATTTTAGAATAAAATTTTCTTTAACAGATCTCCTGGGTCCGACGTCGCGGGGAAGATCTTCATCTTCTTTCCTTCGGGCGTCATACGTACTCGGCAGACTCGAGATACTCCCTAGCATTTGAACATCCCAACGACTGGCGATTGCTTATTCAGTACGTCAGCGAAAGGGATGAAGGATTCTACGAATGTCAAATTTCAACGCACCCGCCGTTGGTTAGAAGAGTACACCTTAGTGTTGTCGGTAAGTAGTTTTTTGTGCTCATTAATATTAAAATAAACTTCTATGTAGGCCGTGAAACGTTTGATAGATTAGAATCACCTGAGTTGTCTTCTTCTTATCGTATCGATGTCAAAAGGAAAGATTAGCCAGCCGGCGTAAGGTAGTCACCGGTAGTTGCCCAGGTCGCGACAAATGTACAGGAAAGGAATGGTACGTCGTGCGGGGAGGTTCCTTTCGTGCATTCGATATTCGAATCTGAATCACGTTTGTTTTTTAAAACAAACGTTTCGGGCTCTTTACAGGTCCCGTGGTCACCGCTAACTCTACCAGTATGATCATGAGTCCGAAACGTTTTGGTTTCTTTGAAAAACAAATATATGCGATTTATATTCGGAAAAATAGTTTCATTTCCAATGGACAAGACTTTGTATTAGCTACTTCAGAATATTTTAAGATTGTAAAAGTTTGAAATAAACTAGAAACAGGAAAAGTTTCAATTACAATCTTAATCAGCGCACGTAATCTTGGAAATATGCGGGGAGACTTTTCTCGCTCACACTCAACACAGACCCGCAGTAGAGAAACCTTGTATCGCGGGTGCCAGGGACACACATATAGACAACCACAGATTACACCCAAACTCACGAGAGAAATAAATGTAGGCTATACAAATATTTCTTCCGGCCCGGGAATCGAACCTGGAACCTCTGCGTGGCAGTCCGGCATGGTAAATGGAGGCAGTTAAAATTAAATTTATTGAATGTCAGGCTGTTACACTGCGACGATATTCAATTCGATTTAAAAACATCCACCGGTCCTGCTGCGTCTGCTAGCAAACCGTACTACACGCTATGCCAATCATATAAGCCACGGAACGAACCAGCGGGCCTTACAAATTCTTCTGTGCTCGTTGCAAATCTTTGTTTCGATTTTTAACGACTTTTTTACCGCAGCGCAATCTGCGAGAACTCTATTTCTTCACTCAGCCTAGTACCGTAAGTAAGCGACATTTTTAGTCACCTGCTACTAGAAATGTCGCTTTAATAAATGTAATAAAATTTATTGAATATCAGGATATTGCACCACCATGTTATTCAGTATAATATTTTTAAATTAATTTGTGTTCTATCTGTTAACGAAGTAATTGATAAACTCGATACATGCGTCAATAATTGATTTAACAACATGTAACTGCGTTCTAAACAAAAGCTTTTGTAAGAAACTGGAACCAATTTCCACGAAGAAGATTTTATACAAAAGGGAAGACATGAAAACCCAACTGTCGAACTCGACGTGAACAACAAAACTCTTGAAGAGGCACTCAATGAATGTCAAACTGCCTTAAGCGTTGAGCTCTATAAGTCTGCTGGTATTTATGAAGCGAGATACGTAATTGCATAATTGTTGTTATAGTAAGAGCAACATTGGGAAGACAGCCAATATAATCTTACAACAAAATAATCAACATAATAATGATTAACAAGTAGTTTCCGTACGACAAAATTTGAAATGAAAATAAAATTGAAAATGAAAATATCACCAGACTACCAGATGACTGTGTACATTAGGTGAATCGTGTAGAAAGCAGAGGTGTAAAAAAGAGGTGGTCTTAAGACCGTGTCTTGAGGTGTTCTTTTGTTAGAGATATGATTCCGATTGATTATAAACCCTCTGCGTTTATTTAATTCAATACATAACAATAAAATTTTCGTTATGGGCTGGATATGTGGGCTGTGTGACCAAAACCGTAATCATGAATACCCGATAAAATATTAACATGACAACACTCAACTTCATTTGCAGCCATTCAACTCTCTTTATTAATATGCAATTGAATGGCGGCATTATATACATAATAGTATATTACGTAACGCCATTTTATTCAAAAGCGTTTTCTATAGGAGTATCTCTTGGATTTTTGACTACTCGAGCGTCACAGCTGTAGAACATAGCAGGGTAATTTCTACGCTTTAATTTTCTTTCAATTACAAATCACATATTGTTGTTGATCAACTTTTCATTAGAGTCGCTAATTTTAGTACAAGTTTTACGTACGTGTATGTTTTGAAGCTCATTTATTTTCTAAAGGCAAGTTAATAACTTCACAGGGTGTTAACTTAATTGTATTGTGTCGGAGTAATTTCATCCATTATCACGAAGAAATTTTACTACGGGGACCCCTCTAATATTGGCAAGAAAAAATATGTTGTTATGTGTAACTTAATTAAACTTACCTCTCAACAAATTTCAGAGTGCCTGTGCTTAAAAGCCATGAACAAATATAGCACTGGTACGAAATTGATGTGATGAATTAATTTGCATTTAGCCTGTTGTCACTTTTCATCGTGTTGCGCATAATTTAAAATTTTAATTTCCGTGTTTATTGCCATGTTATCAACTTTATTGAAGGGATTATTGTCGAGCTTTAGGGTTGCATTAATAATTGTAAATTACCACTTGTTTAACGTTGTGGAAGATAACTTTTTAAACTTACTTTTTAAATTACTGCTTTTTCATATACTAATCTAACCTAACTTGCTAAATAAGAATATATAAATAGGAATCCTATGTGCAATAATAATAGCTTTGTTAAAACAAAGATACAGCAATGTATACTATAGTATTGAAAACATGAAATTACACTATAGTAGCGAATAGACAAGTGCCATGCGAGTCGGATTTAACCTTATTAAAATGATTGTTATGTGATATAAGCTTTATATTATTAAACTTTATATTAGTAGTAGTGTGTGGTTTAGTGTTGCAAAGAGACTCATGAAATAAAATTTAAATTCGAAAAAGATTCCCAAACTCAATGCCCTTATGGACTTGTAATATCTATGGAAAGGCAAAAGATATCTTCGAGTTTAAATCATTTTATCTTATTAACGATTGTACAGGGTTATCTATAAAATATTAACAACTTGGCAGGACTATAGTCTTGGAACTTTTGTTCTATGAATTTTTAAATTAATCAGTCTTTATTCCTACAAAATGAACATTCGCTCTAAACGGTGATAACGCTGTACGGTAACGATAGAAAGCGCTAGTGTAATACCAGTCCGACGCAAAACGCAGGAGCGGGTGTGGGAGTAGTCGGGGAGAACATTTGCACGTTTGAACTTTACTACTTTCAATTTCAACTGAACAAAAGTTGTTGTTTATGTTGTTAGTAATATAGTCCTACAAGATTGTCCATATTTTACAAATAACCCCGAATGTAATGATAAAGATGACACAAAACAGTAGGTAATAAAATGTATTTTTTTATTTACAAGTTATTGCATACATATATCTTATTCTGATTCTATTACTATAGAAATTATTCCAGAAAGCGGGATGATATTAGAATATTTTATACGAAACAGAAGCCCTCATTTCCATGCATGAGGATGCGTCACGACGCCAAATGGTAACTTACGTATTCAGACTGTCGCCACTTGCATGTCTAGCGACATGTTTGAATGACCAGGGATTATTCTAGATATAATATATAAACATATTTATGAAAGAAAATACGCGAGAGAATACGATAAAAAAAACTTTACCGTAGTGATGGGACGAACGGCCTCATAGCACCTTGAGACATAAGTTGACAAGTCCCATGTGCCTGTACTTTCCTCAGCACCTTTCAAAATCGAAACACAGTAATGCTCACAATAAAACTCTAAACACAACCTGTAACAAAATCACAAAACAGGCAACAACTCTTATTAGTTCCGTCACGCACCGCTAGATGGCATGGGCGTCGAAATAGCAAATTCTGCATCGCGGTGTTAAGATTTTCCCTCGCGGAATGACTACTGGCTATGCGAACATGAATGTAATCCAACTTACTACGCATCTAGCTCTGCTTCCTTGTTTGGAACTCCGCTTTAGATCGTTACCGTTGAACCCACTGTACTGTGCTACGCTTCTAGCGCTGCTTCCTATTTGGAACTCCGCTTTAGAACGTAACACGTAGTTGTTGCACCCTGAGCCGCTTCCTAATTGGAACGTGCGTACGGGTCCTCGACTACGTGTCGATTAGGGGGAGTCCTTTCCCACTTCACCATCGACGTTGTACATCTGTGTATGTTGTCAAATAAAAGCACCATATTGAAAACCTGGTTTCCCTCTGTCACCCCGATAAGAATTATTACAAACCGTTATTTGCTCGTGTAGCTAAACTTAAAAACTACAAAACTGATTCGTTATTAATAGCAACTGAGAAAAAAATGCTAATTTTTTTTAAAAAAGTACTCTTTTCATCTTCACCGATAAAGTCGATAACGGAACATGCACACCTAAATAACGCCTACTCATTCTCGCTAGAAAAGATCCAAGTTATAGCGTTCAGAGGATAAGTCTGCGGATAAGGAATTCCATAGCCGTTTTCCATATAAAAATATAATGCGAGTAAAATAAAATCAACTCTGCTTAAGGATGCGTACAGAACTGGCGAATGCACCGCGAACGCTCTGCATGTGCGCTGCGTGCGCGCTGCACACGTGCTGCATGCGTGCAATTAAATACATGTCAATAATGTAGCGCGTACGTATGTAAATGATCCAGGTATCACCTTTATGATACCTAATGGCGTTATGAACAAGTCGTGCGCCTGGTGTATAGCGACTCGCCTGTCCATAACTGTTGCAGTGCCACTCGAGCTTTAAATCGCAAAGACCTGAGCGGCACTGCCACTGTGCCCGTAACCTTGAGACATGAGTTGACAAGTCTCATGTGCCTGTAATTTCACCAGCACAACCGGAACACAGTGATGCTGACATTACCGCTTGGTGGCAGAAATAGGTAAGGTGGCAGTAATTCCCTGGACGAACACTTTCACAAGGAGCTCTACTGCTACTGCTTTTTACTGCCGCTAGAGTTCTTGAGCTAAGTCGCGGCGCAGCGGTCTTGTTAGTGTTTTGTAAGTTAGACGTGGCTAATGTGTTGGGTTTTTTGCGCTAAAAGGAACGCACCTGCGGAACCCTGAAATTTCGAGACAAAATACGTCGTGTATTTAATGTAGTGGAAAAATT